CCATTTTCATGTTTCAAAAATGATTGAAAAGAGAGTTTTTCATGACTTTTGACATGGAAGCTATTACCTAGCTTCAAGGTGGCCAATAACAATAGTATGAAAGCAAGAAATTTATCGATAGTTAAGTAAACTTGTGGCAGGGTGGCTAAGCCTAAGCTCAAGCTCTAATCTTCCCATGACCATAAGGTTCCAAGATACATAAGGAAAGCTATAACAAAGTAAAACGATCAACTCAAACAGATTGACCACTATATTCTAAACACGCGAAATCTGTGAGGATTATTACAACAATACAAATATGATATTCAAAACGTAGGAAGTAGGAGCATATGTATCGGGGAGGACGAGGACCCTTTTATAAGCTCATATTCAATTCATATCACACAAAACTAATCTAAAATATTGCTAAAAATGCTGAAATTTAACTAAATGAAATGAAAAGAAAGCACAATAATAATAATAATAATAATAATAATAATAATAATAATAATAATTATTAAAAGAAAACAAAGGGTGCACAACTAGTGAGCTAGCCAATGAAATGGTGGCTAACCCTCCCACTTTTAATGAAGTTTTAATCACATTTTAAGCCCAAAATAACTCTGAAATCAATATGTAAAGACAAGAAAAAGAGAGAGAAAATGTAATGAAAAAGTTCAAAGTTCACCTCTTGAAAGAAAGGAAGATCTTCTTAGTTAACAAACTTCAATTTAAACACCCTCAAGTATATGAAATAATGTTCAAAAATTCAGCAAAAAACTTCAAGTTTAAGCTTCAATGGTGTATCTATAGTGTATCTATTTTTCAAGAGGCTAGAGAAGTGTGTTGGACAAGTTTCTAAGCCTTTGGCAATTTTTTCTTACCCCAAACTCTGAGGAGAGGTGCTGTATTTATAGAATTTTAGTTTCTAACGTCGAAAATATCTCCAAAAAGGATAGCTGGTCCAAATCCTGTGAATGGAAGCAACCTGCTACTGCAAAATATCTTCCACGCTGAACATGGCCGACAGGCCAAGAGTACGTACGGCCGACCCAATAAAATTGGTCTACTGGCCATTTGTTAGCCTGCTGTTCTATGAGTGGTCAAGGAAGAAAAAAGAAGGTTTTGGTAAAAACGGGGTGCAAAGTTTAGGTTTTAAAGCTTAAAACCAAATTCTTTTACTGAAGATTAGAAAGATTGCACAGCATAACGCTTCATCATTGAGTGTTCGGAATGAAGCGCCCAAGTTAGGTGTGGTCAAATGGGGTGTCTACAGATGTCATAAGCAAGTAAGGTAAGCATGTATCAATAAACATAGGCAGCATACGAATGCAAAACATGAGAGCTCACATATTGAGTGTGTGTGTGTGTGTATGTGTGTGTGTGTGTGTGTGTGTACATGTAATCCTTGAATGACCATAATCGTTAAAGTTAATCCTAGTAGTGATCGGATGACTGGACCTCTGACAAAAGAATCTAAACACAACTGAGAAAAATCAAACCACTAGGAACTAAGGGGTATTTTTTGAGTAAAGACGAAGACTCCTTCTCAATCAATGAATCATATGTATTGATTTTTCTTGCTTTCTTTCTTTTGGGCACTCATTAGTGGCTTTCACTCTCAAGAGTATGAAAACCAAACCAGAAAAGCATGGATAAAATAAGCCTAGTTGGTGCCTCTGAGGTAGCATTTTCCTTGTGGCTTGGTTAGAGGGAAAGCCGTGGAGATGTAAAAGGATGGCAGGTGGCTAAGAGACTCAACATCACCCATGATGTCCTAGTATAAGCCAATTCCTCTAGAAATGCACAAGTGACATTTCTAGTAGTCCATGGAGAAATTTGATCACTTATGCGGAAACCCCTAACAATTTAACTCAAAGATATGTACAAAATGAGATCATGAAATCAATGAGTAGGTACATTCAAATTTAGCCAAGAACAATACATATAAAACCTTGCAAGCAGCATGAGAGGTGTTCAACTAAGTCTATGTGCAAATATGACAAAAATCAATGACAATGAGATTATAACATCCAAGCACACAGAATGTCAATCACACACAACCACTCATGCAACAAGTCACACTCTAGTTATGAGCACTACTCCCAAGACCTTTCTAAGGAACTCAAACCTAAAAAGATCAAGCAGTTTTGTAAAAATATCTGCTCTTTGATGCTCGGTGGGTAGATGTTAAAGAACAACAAGGCCCTCCTTAACCAACACTCAAATGAAATGGTGATGAATGTCAATATGTTTAGTGCGAGAGTGTTGAACTAGATTTTTGAAAATATTGATGGCACTAGTGTTATCACAAAAAAGAGTGAGTGTGTCTTGGAATATACCATAGTCATGAAGCGTTTGATTCATCCACATCATTTGAGCACAACAACTCCCTGTAGCAATATACTCGGCCTAAGGTCGAAAGTGAAATGGCATTTTTCTTTTTGCTATGTCATGCAACCAAATTATTTCCAAGATAAAAACAACCTCTGGATGTGCTTTTGCGATTATTAGCACACCCTACCCAATCGGCATTAGAATAGCTAGTAATATCGGCTGTGGTGTTAGACGAGAACCAAATCACATACTCGAAAGACCTACTAACATACTTGGCAATATGCTTGATGTTTAGAAGGTGAGACTTTTTAGGACAGGCTTGATAACGAGCACAAACACCTACACTAAATGCAATGTTAGGCCAGCTGGCTGTGAGGTACAAAAGATTACCTATCATACTCTTATAAAGGATAGGATCTACATTAATACCGAAGGAGTCTTTAGACATGTGAAGGCTCATGATCATAGGGGTTCGTGCACGTTTGGCCGACTCTAGACCGAACTTAGCACAAGATTCTCGGCATACTTGGTCTGAGAAACAAACATACCCGACTGCAATTGCTTAATTTGAAGCCCTAAGAAAAAAGACAATTCTACCATCATGTTTATTTCAAATTCATGTGTCATGCAATCAGAGAAATATTTCACAAGAGATTTAGATGTGAATCTAAACACAATATCATCAACATAAATTTGAGCAACTAGGATATGCCCTTTGAAAGTCATTGTCAAAAAGAAAGGTAGTAAGTCTATCGTACCAAGCCCAAGGGGCTTGTTTCAACTCACATAAAGTCTTGTCTAACTTGTGGACATAATTTGGAAATTTAGGGTCTTCAAACCCTTTTGGTTGCTCAACATACTTCTTTTCCTTTATGTACCCATTTAGAAAGGCATTTTTTACATCCATTTGAAACAAATTAAATCCCAAAAAGCATGTAACAAGTAAAATTCAAATAGATTCAAGGCGTACAACAGGGGTAAATGTCTCATCATAGTCAACGCCCTCTACTTGTGTACAGCCTTGAGCAACCAACCTAGCTTTGTTCCTAACCACAGTACCATTCTCATCAGATTTATTTTTAAAGATCCACCTGGTACCTATCACATTCATATCTCTAGGTCTAAGAACAAGAGTACAAACTTTGTTACGTTCAAATTGACATAATTCATCATGCATTGCATTAACCCAACTATCATCTAGTAAAGCCTCTTTTACATTCTTAGGTTCAATTAGAGAAACATAAAACATATGAGACACCTCCTCTTGAATTTGTTTTTGGATTTTCATTCGGTCTGAGACACTCCCAATCATTTGTTATATCGGATAATCCAGCTTCACCATTGTTGATAGCTCCAAGATAGGACTGGTAGTGACCTAAGTAATACTGGTGGTGTCTCTTTGTGCACTTTTTGGACTAAGGCTTGCCATGAGAGTTGGTGCTTGTTGGCCTTCTTGATCTTTGCCTTGAGCTTCTCCTTGACTTTGTGGTGCCATATCCAGATTTTGAGGATCACTGTCTTCTTCCTCATGGAATGATGCTATTAGAGAACCTGTGTCATCTACAACCACATTGATAGATTCCATTATAGCTAAAGTACGAAGATTATAGACATGAAAGGCTCTACTTGTGGTTGAATACCCTAGAAAAATACATTTATCACTTCAGGAGTCAAATTTGCCCAAAGGCACTCTATCTTTGAAAATATAGCATTTACTCCCAAAAGTTTTAAAGTATTTTACATTAGGTTTCAACCCTTTCCACAATTCATATGGAGTTTGTAATGTGTCGGACCTTAAATACACATGATTCACCACATAAACAGCAGTATTTAAGGCTTCAGCCCAAAAATTAGAAGGAACTTTTTTACTAAGGAGCATGACCTTAGCTATCTTTTGAACAACCGTGTTTTTTCTCTCAATATCTCCATTTTGCTGTGGGGTAATGGGTGCAGAAAATTCATGCGTAATGCCATGCATATCACAAAAATCCAAAAATGAGCTATTTTCAAATTCACGACCATAATCAGTTCGGATTCTTATGATACGTCTGATAGAAACACCATGTTCATTTTGAATTTTAAGGACTAAGGACTTGAAAGCATCAAACGCATCAGATTTTTCTCTTAAAAAATTAACCCATGAAAATTGAGTATAATCATCAATAGTTAAAAATATATGTCTTTTACCTCCAATGCTTTCTGTACGAGTGGGTCCTATAAGATCCATATAAACAAGCTTAAGAGGACACTAGGTTGTTAAGTTATTCACCTTCTTGTGAGGGCTCGAATTTGCTTCCCCAATTGACATAGCTCACACACTTGATTCACAATCTTACCCATTTTGGGCACTCCTCTCACAATCTCTTTATTGGCTATCTTAGTTAAGTCTTTGAAATTCATGTGACCTAATCGTTGATGCCATAAATCAAGATTACTTATGATGGCCAAGTGACTAGTGAGATCATTAGTAATAACAATCCCATAGCAGTTATCCGATGTGCGAACCCCATGCATGACAGTATTTCCTTTTTAGTCCCAAAATTCATATTTATTTTTTAAAAATAATACCTCATGATGTGAATCACACATTTGACTAATGCTAAAAAGATTAGCTTTAAGGCCGTCAACAAGCAATACATTTTCCAGATTAGGAAGACCGGGAATACTTATAGAGCCATTACCAATGATTTTAAAGGTGCCACCATCTCCAAATGTAACAATTCCTCCTTCATATTTCTCGAGAGATGTGAAATAGGATTTTTCACCAGACATGTGACGAGAGAACCCACTATTAAGAAACCACATATGCAAGTCACGTGCTTTCAATGCAGTGTAAACAACAAAACAAAACAAGTTAAGTCACTTTTTCTCATCCATATCTTTCTGGTCTTCACAGAAAAAGGACTGGCATTCTTGGTAAATGTCTTAGCATTGTGAACACCATTATGAATCCTAGTATTCCACCTAGACAAGTAAGATTGTCTCATAACCCATAAAGTATTAGAATTTCCAACTTTTTGAGACACTCTACCAAATAACTCAAAACAATAAGGGCAAATGTGGCCATACCTACCACAATAATGACAAATAAAACAGGTTTTACTTCCCTTTCACTGATCATACCACCTTTAGGTTGATGGAGAGGCTTGTCATCCTGTTGGATCTTCAACTTTCCCTTGGCTTGAGTCCGTTTGTCATGAGCTGTAGGAGGCTTTCCTTTTTGTTGTGTTGCATCACCATAGCCTATCCCACTTTTGTCACTGCTCATTTGTTGAGACCCAATGATGTCTTCAAGTGTCTTCGATTCACTATTCCACATGTCAATTATAGCTCTAGCATTTTGATTTCTTTCTCTTTCTGACTGACTAACTCTTCCAGGGCAACTTAAGACATCTCGAGGGATTCAATCTTGTCTTCGTATGTGGCATTAATTTTCAGAAGTTCATTCCTCTTGATTTCGCAGGACAGGAGTTTTGCACAGAGAGCTTGTTTATCACTTGAGATCTTGATGGCATCCTTCCTAGCTTTAGAGACCTCCTCTTTTAACTTGACATTCTTACTTTCATAGGCTTTGAGTTTGATAGTGAGTTTGTCATTTAATCTGGATAAGTTTGGAGATTCCCTGTATAGCTTTTCATAAGCTTGTTGAAGCTCTTCACCATCAATCTCATCATCATCCTCTGAGATTTCATCATCTTCTTTTGTTTTTCTTCCTCCTTGGGAGCATCCAGTCGAGTGACTAAGGCATTGATGTGGAGATTGCTGGATGGTTGTGAAGATGACTTTATGCTTTCATGAAATTGCATAAGAACAGCCTATGCATCTTTGGCATTATTGCAATGAGAGATCCGATGTTGTTCTCCTTCAAAAAGTGTTTCTTTGATCATATTCAAAACTCTTTCATTGCTGTCCATGTCAACCTTTTCAACAATACTCCTCTCCTTAGTCAGCTTGGCAACCTTTTAATTGGTATCCGGATCAATCACAAACGGTGCTTCAACATTCTTCTCAATTGTGCGCCAACCTTCAGGATCCCAAGCTCTAATACCAATTGAAAAACCTACATGATTCGTGATTCAAAATAGATTTAATTGCAATTATTTCTAAATAGTCAAAACTAACAATCTAAATCATCTAGCACATACGAAAGTAATTTAGATTGTTGTTTCACAATTAATAAATCGAAGGCGAAACGCCATTAATCAATCCACTATGAAGAATGAAAATACACAAGATTACCAAACAATTTACCCAACACTTTGTAAAATTGTCTTCAACAACTTGTGCCTCTTTCACCAACGCCTTTGTCTCGGAATTGACTAGTCTGATGTTGAATCCACAACATCCATGTCGAATCCACAACAACGAGCCGCTTCAAACTCCTTCAAAGCCTTCACGCTCAAATCTTTGGAATCCACTGATCAAAAACTTTTTGATTAGGATGATCAAACAACCCTTTGATGTAATCGACTTAAATCATGCGATAAACTCACAAAGACATCAAAGGAAACAAGTAAAGAAGCTCTAGGGGAAAACCTTAACTCTCAAGAATCAGATCTGAAAGTTGTAACCCTAACTTCTATCTTTCGCATAGCTTTATACTGAACAGGGTCACGGGGACCACTCGAGCCATGAAATTGTTGCTCGAGTAATGTGCTTCATGCGCGTGAAATCAAACCAGCCTTCCCTCGAGCCACCAAAAGGTTCGCTCGAGCGCACATCGACCTCTCCCCACATATTTGCAGACAGGTTGAACTTCTGGGAGCAGGGATTCTTCGCTCAAGGGAGCAGGGATTCTTCGCTCAAGGGACCAATACTTCGCTCGAGTGGTCCATGATACAACTGCAATAGTGTTGGCACGCGGAATTAACAACACAAGAGACCTATCAAGCTTGACTTAAAAGTAGAAATAAACCAATAAATAAACAGTGACCCAATGCAAAATTTAAGCCTTACAAATCAATCGTAGACAAACAAATGAAAAAACACTCAGTGAAATAAGATCGAAGTTTTATAACAGAGTGTGCAAAGCAATAAATAGACAACGTTTTAGAGTTGTCTTCACCGACAGTGGCACCGTTTGCAAACAAAAACACTGCAAAATAAGTGGAGCCTACACGGATTGTTTACTATGCGAAGGTACCAAACCCACTGATGATATACATATACAGAGACTAGAGTAGAACTTCCTTCACTGTGTAAGTTGTTTTCATCACATAAAAATCACCATCAAAATGTAAACAAGAACCATTACAGTAAGACAGCACACAAGACCCACTTAATTATTTATTAAATAAATTAGCCCAAACCCATCATCATAGACCAAGTAATGCAAAATCGTGTTTCACTAAAAATAAAATGCAAATGTGGGAACAGTTAAATAATTGTAAAATAAATTACAATAACAATTTTAATAAGCTTGAGCCTTGTAATTGTTAAGTCGGCCCCGATGAGAAGCAAAACGTCGACGTCGATTCGGTGGAGCAATACGTTCTCCTTGCCTTGGATAAGAATAGTGATGAAAATCCAATGGTCAATTGACTCTGGGACTTAGTTCCACAGTCCTTTCAATCCTTAATGGATGAGGGCCTCTAACACGATGGTTAGTGGAGATCTGAGAATACACCCGATCAAGAATAGTGAATGCAATTCTCTTCTTACAAGTCTGGCGAAACCAAGTAGAAGCACAAGGCACAGAATTAAGGCAATTGAATTGTTCCTCTTCTGATGTTTCTTTAGGCAATACTTTCGGATAACCTCCTTACCTAATAACGTCCCTTGGAAAATCAGAACAGTGGTCCACAGAACAATGTGATAGAATTTTGAATTTTTCGGCTTTTGTATGACGGAAATCGACCTTGAAATGGGCAAGAACTAGCTGAAAAATGACCCAAAAATAGGTTCTGCTGGTTCTGGGGCTGTGACTCTGGGTTGTTGGGTTGGGCCCTCATCTGGCTTGGCCCAATATGCTCCTTTTTAATTTTTAAACCCAATGGGACAGATTTGCGGGGCAGTATATTTAATCCTTGGGCCTTTTCTGTTGGGTTTTGGATCTGGGCCCAAAGCAAGGGACTACATGGATTCTTTTTCCTTAACTTTTGGGTCAAATGGCTCAGTTAATTTTTGTTTATTTTCAAAAACAGCAACAGTGTTCTTAGCGTTGGTGTTGCCTTCTCGACAACCGGTGGTGTCGGAGACCAGAGGCTAAAATTCAACTTTTCTGGAATAACTATTTGTCGTTTTTTCACAATGAAGTTCACCGGTGTGATCAAAATTCTAAAAAGAACAAGATGGCGCTAATGTAGAGCCGTTAATGGATCCAAAAATTATTCCGTAAATTTCTTCCAAAGGTATAATTCGATTTCACTTTCAGCAAGGTTCAGTACAATATCACCACCAACTGTTATTTTCTTTAGATATTTGATGATTGAATAAACAAATGGAATTAACCAATGCCAAAGCTTGTCAGTCAATTACTTTCTGAATTTTTGGTAAAAAAGTTTCTGACAATTTTCACTCTTTCGGACTGTGATTCGACATCTGCGATTGTTACAAAAACCTACTCTAATACCACTGAAGGAATAACAAATAATGATGATGATCGATAATCCTATGAACGTGTTTATCATGCAAGAAAATTGAGAATCTCAAAAGTGAAAATGACAGTATAAGAGTTGGTGTTCAAGTATGTTGTGCCATATTTATAACCATGTATATATAGGCTTAATGGTGTCTCTTGGAACCATTGCAACTGTTGGGTTTGCTGCATAAACCCAATAGACACAACTCCTCTATGAACCATTATGACTCAAAAGGTCCAAACTCAAATCCTTCTAGATTTCCACATTGCTATCTTTCCTTGGCGGGAAAGTTTATCACTAATCAAATGGGTAATGATCGAATGTGTAGAAACCCACTGAATTATGGTGTGGTCACTCTAATTCTATCATTTTTAACTTCACAATATAAGTTGAGTTAATGCTTCTTGAATTTTGCATGCATTCATCTTGTGAGTTTCTATTATGATATAGGTGCATCCGTGTGGTCAATATCGTAAAAACAGGAGTCAGCATCCTCCAAGCAGAACATGGATTGGCACCTCTATTTCGCATCCACCCTATGTTTTGCAGTATGTTCCTACTGGTTGTGCAGAAACATATTTTAATTGTAATTCCCAATTCTATAATGATATCTTTTTGTCATTCCTTGTCCCATACAATTTACTCAGCGTCCTTTTTTATTTCTATATCTAATTTTATTTTGTGTTTGTTCTTCTTGGTAAAAACTGCTTTCTTTCTTTATTTTTATTTTATTTTATCTTTCCCCTGACACTCATATGTCAGCTATTCATTGACTGGGTCGCTTGGTATCTAGGCTCCTTATCTTGGCGAGAAGTGCTTCTAAGGCCGACCTTTTTACGCAGCAGGTAAGCTTTATGCTACTATACTGGTTAACAGGAAAACCTAGCAATGTTAAAAGTGTCCTTTTGTCAAAAGACTATTATGGACTAGAAAAATGGATTGACTATATTATATTTTATACATAACTTGATATGAAGAGATAGGAAGTACAAAATTTCCCAAAAATGCATAAGTATGAATCGAGGGATACAAAACCAGATTAGTCAAGCAATGCCCAATCCGGATATGAACATTCGTAAGTCCAGTCGGGTCCAGTATATCGAACACAATGCAGCCATAGACCTTCCTCATGCCCATCATATCTGCAATTGGAGGAATCAGTTGTCAGTAGAAGCCGGAGACAAGTATATCAAGTTTACTAGCAAGAAAGCACTATACCATATCAATTTTCTCATCTACAAAGGAGAATGCATGACTAATCTGTAAAGATATGCAAACTTCCTAGCTAGAATGAAGTGCAAAACAAGCTTAACTTATTTATCCCCCAACTTTTCACAGAAGTATCGAATTCTAATTTCTTGTCTAGCTCCCCATCCATTAAAAAACATGTATGCATTTTCACCACATATTTCATGACCATGGTCTTTGACTTAAATACCAAACCATTCTATATCAAAAGGATTTGAGGAATAGCTGCACTACACCCATTGTGTCTTCCCATTGAACTTGCAGCCCCATTAACTGTAGACATGAAACATGTACGAGTCACAAGTCCAGACACTATAGTTTTTTATGCAATGCCAAACCAGCTTTACCAATTTTGCGTTGAAGAACCTCAATTGCATTCAGTGCAACTATCTTACTCTTTGTTGATAGATGAACATCATAACTGCACAGCATTCCTAAGAGGCTTTCACGGTAATCAACCTTCTTTGTTGTTACTATGCTTTGCACATAAGCATTAAAAGTAATATTGGTTTTCATAAGTATATTGCACTTCACGTATTTGAAGGTCATGTTTTGGAAGTTATCACTCGAAATTAATGTTGTGTTTGGATATTGGATTTCGGTAGGGACTAAGGAAATGGAAATGGGAATGGGGAGGGAAATGTGAATGAAATATTAGCAAATCTTATTTCACATTTGCTTCACCTTTTCTTTTTTCTCCACAAATCCCTACACAAATCCATGATCCAAACATAGCCCAAGAACCACAAATATGGATATGGGGATGGGAAACAAATACTAGGACATGGATAAGACGAGAAGTGCTATAGGAAATTCATTTCTTTCCCTTCTGACTGTCTAACAATACTTACTACTCTGGCAAACGTCATTTATTGTGTCAATATGGCTATTTCTCTCTACTTTTTGATAACGACATCATGTATGATTTCTCTAAGTTGATACAACCATATGGGTCTCTTATACTTTCTAAACCTTGTGAGTGACACCTAAGAAATAAAACAACCTTCATAATCAATCTTCATGGCATAAATCTTTACCAAACTTTCTGATACTTTCATTTCACACAGTTGTTCAATTTCTCTTTTTTTTCCAGAAGCAACATGAGTTTGTCACAACAATTGCTACATCTTCCAAGATCACCTTTATCAATATACAGGTACATGAACAGTAAGATGCGTTCTAGTTTTCTCTTGCTATTCTTTTTTAACAACTTCATCAATAAGGATACTCAATCATCCTCCGTGTTTTTTCATATCTTTATCTTTCTTCAGGTGAATGCCAAACCTCAAATCCTCAAGTTCAACATCCCCCCCACCCCCCCTTCCCACACGAAGAAAAAGAAAAAAAGAAAAATTAAAACTGAAATAAAATCAAATCAAATGACAAAAACACACCCACACACAAGTGTAAACAAAAACTTCGGTTTGACGGAAACCACAAAACCTGGAAAGATTCTCCTCCGCCAACTAAGTATTTAAGTATGTTCCATCAAGTATCAAACTGTTAGAGAAAAGTTTCTTACCCTTTAGGAGCCAAATTGGGACAATTTGTACACATCGGATCAATGCTAAAATCTTCCTTGGAGTTCTCTTCAGATCCAGCAGAACAGTCTTTATCAGGATTGGATGGTAGAGACTGGGCTGATTTAGCCGCAGCTCTATCAGCACACATTCCTTTAGTAGAACGATCAGTAACTTCAGAGAGGTAGAGCATGTCGTTGGCTATTGGATGGCCCATATATTGCAGATGAACACGTATCTACAAGAGAGAGGGAGAGAGATTTGAAGCAGGTACGTGGACAGTTACTGACAATTAAGCAAAAACAGACAATTGCTATTTCAGATCCAATCGATACAAATGCAAGCTGTGCCATTAGATCATTGAAAGTAAAGAGTATTTCTAAATGATTTGAAATAGCAATAAAGAGCTAAATAAAAATTTAGGATAAATTACAAATACACCTCCTGAGGTTTGCTTAAAGTGTAGATTACCCCCTGTAATTTGAAAAATTACAAATACCCCCTTATTAAAAAAAATTATTTAACAGAATTAACTAAAAAACGAAATTCATAATTGCTCTCCTATACAATAATAAAATTACCTAAATTATTAATTGAACAATATTTACAACATCATTAAAAACTGTTAATTGACTTAATGATTTATTAATAAAAGGGGCGATTTGTTATGAAATTAGAAACCTCAGGGGGTGGAATGTAATTTTCAGAACCACATGGGGCGATTTGTATTTTAATCAAACCTCAGGGGTGTATTTGTAATTTACCCTAAAATTTAAAAACATTTTACTTGTTAAGTCTGAAAATAAAAGCAACATAACAGCAAAGTTGGACTATTCATAGACATGACAGCATCACTAAATACCAGGGACGGATGAGCCTAAAAGTCAAGAGGAAGAAGAGTAGTGATCAAGAATGACAAGAAACCAAAGAACAATAAAGTACAGCTATGTATATATGTATATATCAAGGCCAACAAGAAATAAATCAGAAAGAGGACCAAAAGAAAAAGGGATTTTTTTTTTTAAAAAAAAGGGTTTTTTTTTTTTTTTTTTTTTTTTTGCCTATTAAATAGAATTAACATATAGATATAGATAAATTTACTTGATGAGTTCTTCCAGTGATTGGTTCACACAGAATGATGCTATGAGTCCCATTGGTACTTATCCTAGTAAATTTTGTACAAGCAGCCTTTCCCTTCAGTGCAGTACTACCGTTTTCAACAGATTCCACCTGCAACCATAAAATGATGATTCCCAATTCAGTACAGCTGCCAGATATGCCTCTGGAAATCACATAGCAATGTGCAATAAAACATGCAAGGGGTTTCAGTCACACATGTTGCAATAGCAAGGAGGTGGAGAGCACTACCTTCATAAGACTCAGAAAAATTGCCAAAAAGAACATTTCTCTTGAGTCATCATTGAAGTGGTTGAGTGGTGTGATCATGCACAAGAATTGTTCCAAATGCAGCGTGTTGTTATACTAAATGCAACGTTTTATATTGCCAAATTTTAATAATGCAGATTATAGAAAACAGCTGATTTTCCTAATGTTTCCATATGCCCATAACATGGAAAACAAATTGTTAATAATTAGAAGAAAAAAAAATGTCAATATATCTGAAATTCACAAGCTACCCTCACAAGCCACAACACAAGTAGCCCAGTATGTTTGAAACATGGTAGTTGATGTAACATAGCAATTCCGATAATGCTTTTTGTACCATTGAAAAGCATCAGAAGAGATTTGAGAATGGCAAAGTGATAAACCAGGGGATCCAATACTATACCATCAGAAATTCATAAAATGGCTCTATTCTAGGTAGACCAATAGAAATCTCACCTCTGTTGTGCTCCTCCCTTCTCGGGCATTGTAATTTACATTGGCATTCACAACTTGCTGAAAGAAGGAAAGAAACAAAAATAACATTATTATTAACAAGAACAGAACAACATTAGTACTTAACAGTTAACACCCATATTGAATGTGCATTACATGAATCACCAAAGTAGAATACCTCATCCTCTGGAAATACCCCAATAACCTTTGCAACATACTGTTTCTCCACCATCCCAGCTTCAATCTGGAACAACCACAACCTATTTTAAACAACCATCATCTACTATAAGACATAAGCGAGATATATATTCATTACTGAATATGAATTCTGCCTAGATAAAAAAGGAAAACAAAAGATAAATTAAACTGTCCACATATTGATGGTGGCAGCTAGCTTTACTGAGAAAGTCTCTTGGTAATTCTACCAAACACTATGGTCAAATCCCACCTTCATTTGGGGTTGAAGGGAATTACGGGCAAGCAAGGGCTACTCCCACCACTACCACCACCATTTGACCCAGATACTGGGGGGATGCGGAGAAAGAAGTGTAGACAAGATGAAAATTTTCACTCTGGGCATATATACTTGATGGTATAACAATAACTCTGATTTTTGCACAAAAACTACTAGTAGTAAGATGTTGGGCTAAGCAGCAAATGTCTTCAAATAACATTGTACTATACTTCGTTCCAACAACATGTAACACGTAGGTATATAAAACCCTTATTTTAGGTTCTCAAGCATGTTAAATGTAAGGAACTATGAGAAGGCTCCCGCAATAATATCTTGACATTTTGGCTCTCACAGCTGACTGTATATTTATAAGGATGATGACAACACATGCAGGAGATTGTTACAACACACTATTGAAAAGCGGCCACATTTGTTGCTTGTGCATGAATGAGCCAGAGCACATCTATCCATATCTGGTTTCAAAATCTACTCCGCTAATAAAGAACACAATGTTGATTTTCCTCCTGCAGTTATGGAGGTGGAAATTGGTTATGTTGCTGGTGGATCCAATCCAACAATAACAACAGGGTCATAGCAGCAGAGATATAACCGGTGGTGGCAATCATCAGAGGAGAAATTATCAAGTGTAATTTTTGGCGGCATGGATAACTAAATAAGAGATGAGGAGTGAGATTAATCACTTTTGTTGGTAGCATTGATGGTTCAGGTGGTGTTGCGTCATTTGATAACTGCAACAGTAGATAGAGATGGCTATTTTGCTATTTGATGAAAAAGGGCATGCAGTCTTGGTGCCTGTGGATATGATGATGGATAAAGCAGTGCTGTTGCCAGCAGTGAATACATGTGGTTTTTTATTGCGTGGGCCTGATAGCAATAACTGTGGTTCATGTCTTCTTGATTGAGATGGGGCCAGCTAAAGGTGGAAATGGCAGAATTTCATCTCTTATAGTAAACTGATAACTACATTACTAACATGCAGATAAAAGGTCACAACAAAGTGAAATACATGACCAGAAAGAGATGATAAATTGTCAATGGATGCATTTATAATAACCGAAACAGCAAGAAAAAAATTATAGCAATACAGTAAGAGTATAGTTGATACAACTGCCTCACCGACTATGCAAGTTTGACAAAATATGATGTTTATATGGCTTGTAGAAAGATGTTACGCAATTGTGTGCATAACCATATTAACAGAATCTTTTGACAAAAGGACACTTTTAACATTGCTAGGTTTTCCTGTTAACCAATATAGTAGCATAAAGCTTACCTGCTGCCTAAAAAGGTCAGCCTTAGAAGCACTTGTCGCCAAGATAAGGAGCCCAGATACCAAGCGATCCAATCGATGAATAGCTGACATTTTAGTGTCAAGGGAAAGATAAATAAAATAAAAATAAAGAAAGAAAGCAGTTTTTACCACAAAGAACAAACACAAAAAACAAAATTAGATATAGAAATAAAAGGAAGATGAGTAAATTGTATGAGACAACGAATGACAAAAGATATAATTATAGAATTGGGAATTACAATTAAAATATGTTTCTGTACAACCAGTAGGAACATGCTGCAAAACATAGGGTGGATACGAAATAGAGATGCCAATCCATGTTCTGCTTGGAGGATGCCGACAACTGTGTTTTTACGATATTGACCACACGGATGCACCTATATCACAATAGAAACTCACAAGATGAATGCATGCAAAATTCAAGAAACATTAACTCAACTTATATTGCGAGTAAAAAACACTTCCCTTTCTCCATAGCACACATACATGTCAAGACTTCACCATGAATGAAAAGAGGATAAATACATATCCTTGGATAATGTAGCCTGCCTTTCTATTAATTATGTCCATCACCATCCAGTTGAGTAATTAAATACAAATCATTATATATCCCAAACTTAAGCATGTCAACTTACGCTGATGGCTCTAGAATTTTTTCTCACGGTAGACATATAAAAATTTAAATTATATATAAAATAAATTAGATTGATCATAAAATAAATTGAAAAATAGACTGCTTCAACAATTTTATACATAATGGCATAATCAAGGTTTTAAAAAGCGGCCGCAACCTTTACGTAACGCCGTTACGTAACGGTTGTGGTAGTTACCGCTACCCGTTACGGCCGCTTTTGCAGTGTGATTGAGATTCACAGGTGTATCGGCTGTAGCTGCTGCTATAGCAGTCGTAACGGCGCCGGAACGGCCATGACGGCCTGTTACGCACCGTTACGTAACGGTTCCAAATTGCTTCTTTCAAAAAAACACAAAAACAAAAAAAACAAAAAAAAAAAATTGAAAATGGGGGAAGAGAGATAGAGAGAGAAGAGGGAAGATGAAGGAACAAGAGATAGAGATAGAGAAAGAGAATAGGAAAGATGAAGAACATGTTATTGATTTGTTGAAGTTGTAAGACCTATGCTATTCTATTCAACTGCTATCACTCAACCATTTTGTTTGTGTGTGTCTATCTATATATTGTTTGATAATAATAATAATAATAATAATAATAATAAGCGTGGTCATTATCTATTTGGCTTGATTAATATATATATATATATATTTAGGCTTTTACTTATTCTCTTACTTTTGTCATTGTTTATCTTATATATAATAGTTAGTGATTGATTTTGTTAGAATTTACCATCACCTACCACCACTACCACCTCACCTACTCCACTCAACTCACCTACCACACACACTCACCTACTCCCCAATCCTCTCCTATATAATGAGTACCTCACCATCTGTAATTTACACCATCTGTAATTTATACATCAATCAATATATCAATCAATAATACATCCAATTTTATATGGTATCAGAGCAATAGGTTAGCTCTAGGTGATCTTCACCTTCCGGCGGGCGGCAACCTTGCCTTCACCGCCCGCCGGACCCCAACACATACCTCCTCTCCTTTCACCTTGGTCTCTGCAACCTCACTCTGTAAATCATCACCTCCATCGGCGTCGTCCAAGTCGGCAACGGCAGCCGCAACAGCATCGTTCTCTTCCGCTGGGTATCTCTTCCTCTTCACTCTCATTTTCTCTCCTCTCAGTTGCTCAGCTCACTGACGGCGGCTCTCTCACTCCCTTCGGTCTCTGCTCACGGTTTTGAAAGAAACTACATCATTATCTTGCAATGGCAGTCTCATTTTCTGGTGTTAACTCACAATCTGGCCTCAAGAAGCTCGATGAGTACCTCCTGACACGGAGTTACATCACAGGGTATCAAGCCTCAAAGGATGATATCGCTGTGCACGCAGCTCTTTCAAAACCTCCACCATCTGAATTCGTGAATGCATCTCGGTGGTACAATCACATTGAAGCTCTTCTTAGAATTTCGTAAGTTCTTATATTTGGCACTATTATTGTTTGAGTACATTGGAAGGTGCGATTGTTGGGATACATATTTAAGTGAATGCTTCTGTTTCTTTTTAACTTCTATGTGCTGTTTATCAAATTATTGATTGCTGTTCTTCAGTGGTGTTTCTGGGGAAGGTTGTGGTGTCACCATAGAGGGATCTGCTCCAGTCATATATATATATATTTAGGCTCTTATTTATTCTTACTTTTGTCATTATTTATCTTATATATAATAGTTAGCAATTATTTTTTGTATAATATAAAATCATTAATTATTAAAATAAAATGTAAAAAACTCAATTTATAATGATTTAAAAATATGAAATATATTGGATCAAATTTAAAAATTTATAAAAATTTATCAATATTTATTTTAAAACCCAGTAAATATGATCATGGAAAAAAAATACGCGTATTGGTAAGTTTTTTTCAAATTGTGGGAAAAACAAAAAAAATCACGGTTCCGGTTACCGCAACCGTTACGCTATGGCCTTTACACTCCGCAACCGCAACCGCAACCACAACGGCGCCACCGCCACCGTTACGGCAACCGCTACCGCTTTTCAGAACCTTGGGCATAACTAATCAAAAATTAGATAATAAACTCAATTTGATGGATACTAAATCAATACAACTAAACATTTTTTGAGAAGTAAACAAATTTATTAATAAAAATTGATACTACAATCAAGCTCAAAACCGTGCAGAAAATCACAATAAACTCTCAATAGAGAAACAAAAAGATCAACAAGCATTTTAAACAAGCAACTTGGGTGGAAAGTCTTCAGAAGATAAAAAATAAAATAAAATAAAATAAATGTATTTTGAATGCACTTCAGCACATCAAAAACCAATAAAGAAAACACATCTTTTTTTCTTTTTCATTTTTTTTCTGAGCAGAGTGGACTTGTTATAGAAAGGGTGTTCCAAATTTTGGTGAAGTGGTTTCAAAATCTTTATATTTATACCAACAAATCAAGGGTGTTCACACCAACAGGTTAAAGTGTTCAATTTTTTTCTTTAAGTAACAATTACCCATCCAAGATATATATGCCTGTATTTTTATTTTTATTTTTCAGGGTGTTCAACTGGACACCCTGAACTCTATGTGGAGCCACCCCTACAAACACACGGAGAACACCAAAACAAAAACAAAAACAAAAACAAAAACAAAAAAAACCCTCAAAAATTGGTCCTAGGGCAGCATCTATCTCAAAAAAGTAAAGAAAAAAAAAAGCTTCCTACTTTTTTCTCCCCTTCAAAGCGCAATTGGTTGTGAATAATGCCTTCAAAGGCAAGGAAGGCATACATCTTAGGGGCAGCTATAAAATTTGATGTAATCTGGTAATCTAGTAAGGCTTTGGCTGCCACATTCTGAGGTGCTACTGGAATTTTGTAATTGTTAGGGTCTAGGAAGTGCAAATGATGCAACCTTTAAAAGACTAGAGAGATTGCATGGGTTTCTTACATAAGGAAGTTAGAAAGTATAATATGGGATTTTGAACAAGCTCAACTTCATTGAATCTCCTAGATTCAAGTGTTGATCATTTAAGAGACATCTTTTGACTCTTTGAATACCACATTTTTTTTTGGGTCTATAAAGCCACTCAAGAGTGGAAGTAAGCAGTCAATTTTTTCCACAGAAGTAATGTCCAGAACAGAGCATGACATAGCTCCACCCCCAGCTAGGGTTTTAAGCATTGGAAGAAAACTTGGCAGTCATGGAGAATGAAGGCCATCATGAGGAAGTCTGTGAAACTGAAGAAGTTGAAAAAGTGGGAATTGAAGGAGACATAATTGGTGATACCCTTGTCATCCGCCGATCTATGCCTGCACCAGCAGCACAAGATAAAAATGTTTGTGCGTGCATGTGTGTATGAATGTCAAATGTTGAAATGTTACATAGCAAGAAGTTAAAATCATCAATCATATGACATGCCCCCTTTTTTCCAAAAACCATTTTGTTAAAAAAATACTGTATTATTGATTGATATCTGATTGATGTATATTACAATTGGTGAGGGGTGCATTATATAGGAGAGATATAGGTGTAGTAGGTGAAGTGTAGTGGAGGTGGTAGGTGGAGTGAGTGTGTAGTGGAGTAGTGGGTTAGGTAAGGGGAGTAGGTGAGGTGGTAAATTCTAACAGCCCCCCGCAAACTCAAGGAGGATAGGAACTAACCAACTTGAGTTTGGAGAGAGTTACAAAACAAGAAAATACATAAAAATAAAAGAGGATAGGAGACACTGTATGGTCGTGTCAGACCATTGGTGAAGACACTGAAAGGTGGTGCCATAACGTGGTAGAGGACACTGGATGGGGTGTCATAACGTTGTAGAGGACACTGTATGGTGGTGCCAGACCGATGTAGAAGACAGTTTATGGGGTCATGTCGGACCGTTGTAGCAGACAATGCTGTGACAGTTGTTGTACACAAAAATAGTTTGGCTAGTTAATTTTTCCATGGAAGTCTTTTAAGCAGATCAGTTTCACATTCAGATATCTTACGTCAACTCAACTATGTTTGGATGTTCACCATGAACCCTTCCCAATGTTACGGAGAATGAAAAATACAGCACACTAAACAAGGTACATGAAATAAATCTCTCTTTTTCCATGTGTATCTGTTGTATAAGCCCTCCAAATTTCCAAAAACAAGTAATTTGGGTGAAGACTTACTTTACTGATTGTTAGGGGTAAATATGTAAGTAACTTATGCATTACAAGTTATGAACATCTATATTAACCCCAAAGCTTTTTACATACAAACTAGAAGCCTAAAACACAAACTAAACCATTAACAAGTTTTCATAAAAAGAAAAAGAAAAAGAAAGTATGGCATTCCATATCAGCACATCCCAAAATATAAATTTGCCCAATGAATCTAAAACAAAGGAATTTTTTACAAACGATACAATGAACTTCTACAAACCAATTGATAGCTTCATAAAAATATCGAAATATAAGAATAACGTAATTATATTTAAACTTTCAAGACATCACAATATGCACGCAAATTGAGAACCATACACTGAACTTCTAGAACCCCGTTGATAGCTTCATAGCAATATGGAACTATAAAAATAACACAATTATAATCAAGACATTACAATATGCACTCAAATTGAGACACTCGTTTCAATTCACGGCTTCGGGGGAGCAAAAAGTAACTAAAACTTAAGTTTTGAATTCAAAACCATTAGATGTGGAGGATTGAAGCAAACTTGATAGACTGTTCATGCTTATGTGTTCACGTAAATTTCATTGATCGAATAAACGATGATAATGAAAAACTAAGAAACAGTGGGTAGAAACAAATAAAACAGATGTTCTGGCCCCAACGTGGAAGGGTTTTCATTGCTAGAGAAAGGATTCTAATCTTAGAAATATTTAGATAAATTTCACATCTCAAAGTTAAACATAAAAATAGAGCATTATTACTTCCCTAACAAACTAAATCTCAACATTATATACTCTACTAAATAAATAAAGGCATCCAGATCGACCGAAAAAATAAAGCAAGAAAAGAAAAGGGGGCAGGCGAAAACAGGGTTCCAGAAATTCACTAAGCATTTTTTTCCAGACAAAGAAAGAAGTCACAGAAGGATCAATCTTGTGATGAAGCTCCATTGAAGCAAAGCGAGAATGATGTCATAATAAGTAGCATAGATATAGCTGAAAACATTAATAGACTAACATCCTCAATAGGTTTTACTTACCGGGACAGATGCAGGTTTACATACAGTCAACACATCTAGTTCTTTTTGCAGGACTGAAACCTCCATTGCCTTCACTGGTGGTTCATGCCTACAAACTTTTGTATATCATTTACAAGCTTTATAGATTCACAGTGGTTGCTATAAACTTTTGATGAAATGTTAAAGAAATTGAACATTTCTATGTTAAAACTAACAAATTTAGGCACAAAAAGTATAGAATGATTGTGCTATGATTGCAGAGTTCAGCATAACAAACCTGTGTAAGAAGTGGCTTATCTTCTGCGATGGCTGAACTATGTATGAAACAGGCACCATCTCTCCATCAACTTGTATCCGTCCAGATTTAACAGCAGAAACCTACAGTGCTTAACACATGACTCTTACACTCAGACTCTACTAACATAAGATGAAAGAAATGAAAACAGTTCTACATGTATACAGAGTAGATCAATAAAATAGTGCCCAATTTAGGGGGCGTTTGATGCTTCTGAATTTATTTAAAGCATCCGATCAGACAATCTCAAATGATCTCTTTGTAGGTTCACTGGCTTAGGGGTGGCCCTCTGAATTTTGAGTTTACCTTCTTGGGTGGATCCAAAGGGCACTGCCTAGGATGGGTTCTTGATTATCAATAATAAATAAAATCTCATTGGAAGCAGCAATAATTGAAATTGCAATTACAAATCTCAAAGCATCTCCAATCCTTACACATTTTGTTTTCGTCAAATATTTTTGAAAAATTCAAAGCTTACGAGTTGTTTGAAATGACCTAAATAAGTGCACTTTTTGTCTTTTTACGAAAAGATGTGCAAAAAAGTACAGGGGTGATGTGATGGAAAAAAGATAAAAAAATAAAAAGATAGATTATTTTGCGTATGCCTTTAACCACTTTTATGAAACAAAACCATCTCCGATCCTTACACTTTTTTAAAATTCATAAAATTTGAGTAAAAATATGTAACTCTAGAACTTGATGAAGGATTTGGTTCATCCTTGATTTGGTAAAAAAATTGCCTCTCCCTTGAATTGATACATATTTGATGAAATAGTTGGAGCACACTTTTAGCCATTTTTTCATCAAATTTGAACTTGATGAATATATATATATATAAAGGATTGGAGATGCTCTCATGCATGATAGAATGATACGTGCATAACAACACAGACATAAGGAAGAGAAATGCTTCTAAATATGGTCCATTTTAATCTATTTCAAAACAATGGACTCAAAAAATCAACTCCACCAATAAATTACAGAGACCAAAAAAAAAAAAAAAACATACATAGTAATCATATGGTCTTCCTTTGAATTCATCAGAAAACAAATCAACAATGGTCTTCCCAGCCCAGCGATTCTTGACCTGCACACACACACACACACAAAAAAAAAAAAAAAAAAAAAAAAAAAAAAAAACCCGAGCATTCAAATCATAATTAGGGTTTAAAAAGGGGTTTTTAAAAATTGAAACACTTTTGGGGGTTGTAAACGAGAGAGAGAGAGAGAGAGGGAGAGGGGTATACATACATGACAGATGAACTCGAAGTAGTAGGGTCTCACGTAGCGCACACCTGCACAGAATGATTTTGAAGCTAAAAGCTTGAGCTTCGAAACAGTTTGCAATGGCAGTGAAAGTAGAGTGTTTTTTGTTTTTGGAATTGTGAGAAAGTGTAGTGTGTGGCTTTTTGGTTTACCGTTGCGGAAGATGTAATCGTGGCGCTCCGGTGGGTTCGCCGGAGTTTGCCAGACGATCTCCATGTCCTCCTCCCTCCTCGTCTTCATTTCTCTGTCTTGGATGATGATATACCTCTATATATATGTACGTATATACTCAGCTTCACCACTTTCATATCTTCAACAATATCTCAATAAAAAATGATCCAATTGAACATATATCAATCAAAAATGGGTAAATTACCGGAAGTTATATCTCCTCGCGTTAAAAAATTATAGCGATAATTACATTTTCCCGAGTTTCACTGGTTTACATATTACTTCTTTGACATTTATAAATGTACCTATAAATTTTTTGTGATTTTGAGGGATGTGTAGAAGTGATGGGATGTGATAGACTCAAAAGCGCGCAAGGCAGGCTCATCAGAAAAGCGTGTTTGCACTGGAATTAATAAATGTTTTGGTGTCAAATTTAGGTTAAGTTTGACAATTTAAAAATAATTTATTTTTTTATTTTTTTTATTATATTATCTTTTTATTTTTTATATATTTTTTTTATAAAAAAATAAAAAGTACACTTATTTAAGTCATTCTAAATAACTCCTTAAAATTTTAAGTAGCTAATTTGTCTTTTTACTTGTTTATATAATCATCAAGCCATCAAACTCACTATTCCCAACTAAAAAATTATGAGGCCACTTTCATTTTTGAAGATATCATCCTCCCAAGTCTCTTAATATAGTGGACAAAGCTTAGCTCGTACATGTTTATGGAGATGTGGTTTGGAAATACTCTTCAGATCCTAGAGAACGCTCGTGATCCTCTTCTGGTCACCTGAAAATGAATAAACACTCCGGTCGGGGGTGCCGAAATTAGCACTCCGACGGACAAGTCAGGATCCACATTCAAGAATGCTTGTATTCTAAATTAAGCACAACAATTCTCACATACCTTTCTTAATCTGTTGTTCCTTTATTTATACTTGTTTCCTAGGTCTCGTGGCCAGGCCCACTTGTCACTCATTAGCCTCTTATTTACACGGCTCCATAGTTCAGTATCTATTCGGCCTATCCATTATATTCGGCATCCTTATCGTGCAGGGTAAAGCCGTGTACTATTTGTATTCTAGAATACGCTTCTGATTATTCCAATTATCCGGCTCCCACAATTGCCCCCCCAACACCTCGCTAGCATCAGTTAGTCGGCGTGTTTGGCTAGGAGTCAAAAAATTAAGCGGTTAATCCTCTTCTTGATGCGTGTCAGAACACGTACGTGCTTTCCGGTCATTGTAACGCTTTCCCGCCCCATTCGCATTTCTCTCGCATTTATTACGATTTGAAACTTAAGTCCCTTCGAAAACATGCTTTTTCAAATATTTGAACCTCTTGGACTGCCAGTCAGTATCTCTTCTTTGACGCGTTTTCTGCAACTCCTATCCGTTCTCTCCTTGTCTCCTTTGCCTTTCGTAAGTTTTCTTCTCTTCTCCTTGCAATCTTGTTTTCCGTATTTATTTTTGATTTAGAATATCCTTGAGTCCCCACTAGAATGGCTAAGCATTTGAAAGACCTCATTTCCGAGAGTCGAATTTTTGGGTTCCGAAGACATTTTTCTATCCCTGAGGATGTCCATCTTTCTTTGGTAACGGACAATACCCTTGATATGGAAAGGGACAACCAAAATACAATCGTCTTTCCTCTCCTGTCTATTGCGGAAGGCGGAGTTCGCTTTCCCCTACACCCATTTCTCAAGGCCTTCCTCCGCTATTGGAGTCTGATTCCTTCGCAACCCAATGTGAATTTTTTCCGAATCGTAATGGGAATTGTAGAGTTGAACCGGTGTCTCAGGATCAACCTTGGCATTTCGACGATTCGGCACTGCTATTCTTTAGCCAAATCCTCCGGTCGGCTCAGGCGCTACTTCCTCAAGGCCAAGGACACCGATCATCACTTGGTAACGATGCTTACCAGCTCTGACAAACGAGTTGACGATGTAATGGTCAATGCCTGAGGTAACTGGGAATTCGGCGAAGGCAAAGATCGCCTAGACCTTATTCCCAAACGAAGGGGCGAACCAGGTTGCCGTGTAACTCTTGTTTGTTGATCTTTCTTTTATGCGGCTTTTTCTGCAAGCCTTACCCTTTGTTCTTGCAGGCAATAAGTTGAAGAGGATTTTGACCTCGGTTGACGATGCAATCCTTGCGGAAATTAAAACTGCACTAAAGTACTTTGGCCGTCCAAACGTACAGAAGCAAGGGAGAGCTGCCCATATTCTCCTACGGTACGAACCTACCTACACTACGTTCTTGGCCACGGACGACATCCCGATCCCAACCGGCGAACAACACCTTACGGCTCTTGTCTTCCCCAGTTTCAAGATCCTTAGGCAAATTGGTCTCGAAGCTTCTGATTCGGAGCAAGGCTTAGAGCCGGTTGTCGAGGTACATGCCGAATCAACGAGAGAGTTCGCTGCCGAGGCCGAAGAGGTCGACGAAGCTCTGATATCAGCGTTTGAGGCAGCCGGTTTTAACCAGCCTAACTCACCGTCCACTTCGGGTCGGGCGGAGTTTTCCTTCAGAGATATTTTTACAAACTTGGAAGACCTTCCCGGCACTTTTTCAGAAGGCATGGCTGGGGAGAATTTCACGCAGATGACGAGAAAGAGAAATGCCGAGCGAATGGCCGCTCAAAAGAAAACTGAGGCCACTCATTCTGAGCCTGCCCCGGTTGAATCTTTACAACCGGTTACTGGAGAAAAAACGACTCAAGTTGTTGTGGCCGAGACGGAGGGGGCTGAACAGTAGGTTATGGAAGAACGGCTGATTTCAAAAGAGCGAGGCGAAAAACGTTCCGCTGAGGGAGAGGCCGGCTCAGAGGATAGCCGTGCTGACAAATGGCCTCGCTTAGAGGAGTCCGACGTGGTTGTCCCCTTCGTTGTTCAACCAAAGATCAAAGGCATGCTAATCTCCTCTGACGCATCTGCCATGAAGGATCCAGCCGTGGCGTTGAGCTTAGCCGCCTCAGTTTCGCTACCGGCTGACAAGACCACCTTTCGAGAAGAGCCGGATTTGGTGGCTATAGCATTCGCTGCCCAGTCGGCCCTTTTGGTATGTATACAATACTTTCTTTTTTACTCGTTTGGTTTTGTTTGCATACGATGTTGCTTGATGTGGTGATCCAAACTTGTTTTGCAGACGGTTGGAAGGATAGCTGAACTAGGCCGAAGGCAACGTGATGTCATTGAAAGAATTGGCCGCTTAAGGGTTGAAGCTGAAGGTGAGAGAAGTAGGGCCGAGTTCGAGGCGATAAGAGCCGCAATGGAAAGTGCTCGAGCCGAAGCTGAAAAGAAGAGGGCTCGGATTGCTGACCAGCTCAGATCCGAAGCCGAGGATAAGGCGAACGTGAGTGAGGAGTCGCTCAAGTTAGCCCAGGAGGCGCTTTCAAAAGCAGAGGCCAAGTTAGAATAATTGAAGGCGGCCAAGGAAAAAGCTGAATCTGTAGCTTCTACAGTGCTAGAAGCTGGAAAGAGCGCCACCTTGAAGGAATACATAGATAAGGTCCCCAAATTCGAGAATCGGGGATTCAAACATAGGTGGCTCAAAGCCCTTGCTGCCGCTGGAGTTACATTGGCCTTGCCAATTCCATACGAGCAAGTGGACGTTGAGCCACTTGAGTATGATCCCGAGGATTGATCTGGGAGACATTCTAGTTTTATTAGGTATCTTTAATTTCAATGTACGTTTTTGTTTAGTGGATCCTTGTTAGTTCAAGGTAATTTTCATGTATAAATTGGTTACTATATGTGCTCAATTTATTAATGAAAATTTTCTTCCCTTTTCACTATTACTTGTACATAGTTTTTGATATTAATGAAGAGTTTTGCCTTCCACTATTTTGAATAAAATGATTACTGTCTGTTGTGCCATCTAACTAACGATTGGATAATAGCGTAATCTTGGCAATTATATTAGTTATACTTTAATTTATCCGAACAAATCGACTCTTGGTGCCGAATAGGACTAGTAAATCGATTCATGAAGAGGCTGCGGCATTAGAGCCGAATAGATTGATGAATCTGCCCTTGCCCCAGCTGGTTCATGAACATTAAACACCGAACCACACAATATTGATGAGTCGATTCATGAAGCAGCTGCGGCATTAGAACCGAATAGATTGATGAATCTGCCCTTGCCCTAACTAGTTCATGAACATTAAACGTCGAACCACACAATATTGATGAGTCGATTCATGAAGCGGCTGCGGCATTAGAGCCGAATAAATTGATGAATCTACCCTTGCCCCAACTGGTTCATGAACATTAAACGTCGAACCACACAATATTGATGAGTTGATTCATGACGCGGTTACGGCGTTAGAGCCGAATATACTGATGAGTCGGCCATGCCCCAGCTGGTTCACGAATTTGCCCTAGCGGAAGTTAAGACTGCCGAATAACAATGTTTGATGGGGGCCCGGCACAACTCGGTCGACGCCCTAGTGATTGATGAGATTGCCTTGGGGGCGCTGCCCTCGCAGGGAATAAATGAATGAAGGTCCTATTTATGTGCTTAGTGAGCAACTCAGTCCAGGTCCTTGATGAAGAATAAACAAGCGCGAATGTCGAATAGACTTTTCTTTAACAGCAAAGAGGAAGTGAGGACACTAGCTGAGCTGGGAGGAAACATGAATCGAAGTGGCGAACCTTCGCGTGCGGGAGGTAGGATTTCGAGGGAGCGGGAGAGACGTCAATCTCCTCGTCGTCGAAGTAGGTCGCCTAGGAGGGACAAGGAGTCACAGGACAAATCCCCGCAACCCCGTTCTGGAAGGGAGCCCGATGCGAACCCACGCCCATTGAGTTTTGCAGTCTTTGTGAGGAATAGGCCCATGACAGATGCAGACTCGATCATTCAAGATTCAAATGTGGCAGTCGAATTTGCTCGACAGATTTTTCCTCCCAAGGTCCAGCAGTCGATGGTAGGTTGGCAGGACTTCAAAGTGTTTCGTGAAGGCATTCACGGTGCGGTAAAGGGGCTCTATACCGCCTACAAAATCGGCATGCGTCTCCGTGCTTCCTGCCAAGAAATAGAGAAGATGGATGAACGCATCCGAAGCTTGGAGGCTCACCTAGAAGCGGCTGAGCGTGAGCTAAGGAAGGCCAAGGTCGTTCAGGCATAACCCGTTGGACAGGCTAACCCAATCGTGGAAGAAAGGGTCACCCAGCGG